GGGTACAAAAGTTTTGTCAAGTCAATCTGAGACCTTCCCAAGTGGGCTATGTCCTTGGCATCTGTTTCCTTTCAGCTTTAAAGTCTTCTGAAACTCAGTTGAAAGGGGGCACTGTTTGTTGTCCTTCATCTAGGGGACACACAGGTCTAGGCTAGGGAAGAGGTCTTTCCCTGCTGACTGCTGTGGAGGCCGAGGAAGGAGGCTTAGGGGCCAGCTGGAAGGCATCAGCTAAGGAGAGAGTGGGTGGAACAGGTTGGGGGGCAGAGGGCTGAGGTCTAGGAAGCAAAGCTTTATCTGTCTCCATGGGACTGTCACTTCAGAGACTTCAGAGCTACACCTTCTGCTGTTCTCCGAGACTCTAGCCATGGTCTCAGACACGGGGGAGCCCCTGGGAGAGTTGACCATTGACGTGAAGAAAGGGAAATATAAAGACGAGTTTGGGGTCATCTCATACTGCCTCATTGTACACGCCTCCAGCCGTGGATTCCTGGACAAACTGCTCTGTGGAAACTCCCTCCTGGGTAGTATCACCCCATCCTTCCTCCGCCACTCGGCTTCACCTTGGGATCAGAAAGTGGATTAGAGGGTGTGGGGATTGGGGGGGGATCAATCACAACCACAAACTCAAGTCAAGAGCAGTGCTGACCCACTGACACTTCCGTGAGCAGAAGGCACCCAAGTGTCCCAGCCTGCACCCCACCCTCCCTTCTGATAGTCTCCATCTCACATCTCCTGTGACATCAATAGTCACCTCCTTATCCCTCCAGGCTATCTCTCAGAGAAATTGGAGATCATGGAGCAACACAGCCAGGAGTACATCAAGGTACCTGCTAGTCTTCAGTCTTTTTTTTTTTATTTTTTTTTTGTGTGTGTGTGTGTAACCGTCAAATCAGATCTGACTGGTCCAGGAGGAGATTGTCCCTCCTTCCTCGGCAGAGCATCTGGTGGATTTGAACCGTGCGCCTCTGGGATTGCAGTGCAGCTTCTTGCCACTAAGCCACCAGAGCTCCCTGAGTCTTCAGTCTTGATTGACTCCCCCACCACCACCCCAGGGTGAGAGAATAGAGGTTCTGGGAAGGAGGAAGAAAAGGTGGATTTCTAAAAAGGGGGAAACGGGACATGAGGGCTCAGGGCTGGCTGAAAGCACCAGAGGGAGTAAGACTAGCACAACTTCTCACTGCCCCAGAGCAGAAAACAGATAAAGAACCTATAACCCAGTCCCATTATTCCTGCAGAACCTCACCAGCAGCAAAAAGTTCATTTATTCATTGCTGACTCAGTTATGGCACCAACAATGGGGTTTTTATTAGCAAAGGAAGTTGGAGAGTGGGGGAGTCAAAGAATATCACCCAAAATAAGTCCAGATTTTAGAACAAAAATTCCAAGCAAACTTCTCAGTCCAGTTTCTGGTTTTCAGTAAGCAGCTTTCCCTTCCATCATCAAAGGCAAGAATAGCAAAACCCAGCTGAGGCCAGCACAAATGCAAGAAGCCTCAGATCACACCTTGCCACAGTTTCTCCAGAGCAACATCAGTCTCTCCACCACCAGGGTTTCACTCTCACCAGGGTCTTGCTGCTCGGTGTGGGAAGCACTCTTTCATTTATCCTAGTCCCACAGCTGATGCTGATTTCAAGACCATGTTGGTTTACAAGACCACATGCCTGTAGTTAAGGTAGCTGGAGACCAGAAGCTAAAGGCTAGAAAAAAAGCCAACTTTTAGGCTAACGCCACAGTGGGTCTCAGCTGAATGTCACCCTGCATCCTCCACTACATAAAACCTGAAAATGAACCAACCTGGGTCAGGTCAACAGTGGGTCCTTTTTTTTTTATGGTGCCAATTTTAAATACATCTTTATTTGAGACATTGCATTTTCCACCTACAATACAGTGATAATAAAGTGCAATGTTAATTCCTTTCCCTATACACATTCCATACATATGGAATGTTAATTCCTTTCCCTATACACATTCCTTCAGTATGGACTGAGGCTCAATGTCAAGAAGAAAAAGATTCTCACCACTGGACCAATCGGTAGCATCAGGATGGATGGCGAAGAGACTGAGATTGTTCACAGCTTCAGTTTGCTTGGCTCCACGGTCAACACTCTTGGCACCAGCAGCCAGGAAATAAAAAAAAACGTATTATGATGGGAAAGTCTGCAGTTAGGGACCTCTCTTAAAGTACTCAAGAGCAATGGTGTCTCTCTGGAGACTAAGGTGTGCCTGATACAAGCCATGGTCTTTGCAATCACTTGTTATGCATCAGAGAGTTGGACAATGACTAGGGAGGATAGAAGGAGAATTGACGCCTTTGAGCTGTGGTGCTGGAGAAGAGTATTGAATGTACCATGGACTGCCAAGAAAACAAACAGATCCATCCTAGAGAGGGTTAAACCAGGCTACTCCTTGGAGGCAAGGATTCTGGGGCTTCGTCTGACATACTTTGGACATGTTGAAAGGAGAGACAGGTCCTGGAGAGGGACATCATGCTTGGTAGGGTGGAGGGACAGCGCAGGAGGGGAAGACCCTCTATGAGGTGGATTGATTCAGTGACTGGGGTAATCGGGATGGGTGTGTCAGAGGCCATGCGATTGGCACAGGATAGAGCAGGGTTTAGGGCTATTGTACATAGGGTCGCTATGAGTCGCAAACGCCTCGACGGCACATAACAACAACAACAACAACAGTACACATTCTATATTCAAGTATTGAGAATGCCCAGAAATTTAGTCTAGCAGTTTAGACTTTTCAACTTCTGACACTCAAATCCTGAACTCAGATGACTCACTGGGGGGCCCCCTATAGCCCCCAAATCCAACATCTCCAGGGAGCTACTGATGTGGGGGCTCTGGGCCTGGTCTTTGCCGTCGGTTCATCACCGAACCCTCCAGCTCTCTGACCCTTACACCTTCCTGTTCACTTCACTAACTTTAGCAATGTTGAGCATTCATATACCAGAAACTATTCCCATCTTCCAAAACCCATATCTGAAGTGAATTTGCTTTTTAATTATATTGTATAATAATAAGTCTTCTATCTTTAGTTTTACGATGTAGAACACAAGGAGCTCTGCTGGCAAGGCAGGCAGTTTGAATCCATCAATTGCTCTGCAGGAGAAAGATGGGCAATTTCTGCCCATGAGATGCAGCCTCTGGAAACCTGCTGGAGGGTCAGCTATGAGTTGATTCGAATTTGATGGCGATGAGTTTGAGGCTTTAGGTTGTTTTGTTTTGTTTTGTTTTTTAATGTATGAAAGGTTTTCCTCAAAATATCACTTTAGTTATCTGTAAAGGAAATTGGACAAGATGGTCCAGGGGTGGGGATTGGGAAGCCCCATTTATATAACAAAGTTTAGGGATTCCTTGATTCTCCTCTTCCGTGCTCTGCCTATTAGTTCCTTGTCCTCCCAATGGAAAGAAAGACCACTTTAATGAGGCAAGAAGATCAGCTGGCCATGACAAGGATGGTCAAGGAAGGGGAGGTAAGGACAAGAGCCAGGTAGGAACCATCCTCCACAACTTCTTCAGAAGCATGAGCTGGGACAAGGTTGGGTCAGGCTGGAAACTCGGCTGAGAACTGACCTCGGCCATGTGCCCTGTCTGGACCCTCTCTCCACATCTTCTCAGCTTCAAGATCCTGACATAAATTTGTCTTCAACAGGAAGTAAAGAGCGAACGGAGTGCATTCTCCTCGAACTCACTTGCTGGCTTCATCTCTGAGGCCGCCAACCTGGTGATGCTGAGGCTGATGGCCTGGCGGCAGATGGTGCCCAGCAATGCCCGCTTCCTGACCTTGGACACGGAGGGGAAACTCTGCTATTCCACCTATGTGAGGGAGCCCACCCCCAGCCCTGGCAGGAGTCCAGATGGGTCTGGAATGGAAGAAAAGATAGCTGAATCTCAGGGGGGGATGGGTAGAGATAGGGGATAAACAAGAGATGGGAGTGGTGGGGCTTGGAGGGCAAGAGAAACATAAGAATGACTTTGTTAGATTAAATATGAGACACAAGGGAGCTCTGGGGCCCTAGAGGTAAGAAGCTGCACTGCAATCATTAAACATGAGACAGGGTGAAGAACAAAGCAACTCCTTCTACACAAAAGTCAGCTCAGGAAAAAGAAAACATGGAAGAATGCTTTTAAACAGTACATTTCTTTAAAATCACTAAATGCTATCTTTCTGATTGTCATATTTACTTCTCTGCTCTGAAGAGTGTCTCTTTATTTTGCCTGTCGTTTCATAATCAACACACCTAGAACTTGCATATGATTATAAAACCATGTCTTTGATTGAACACAGAGTAAGCCACTTTAAGGGGATGTTGTTTCTTTTTTTTTTAATCAACTTTGCAAATTACATTTCACTCTTTCTATTACAAACAGGCAAACAGCAATGCCTTCAACACAGACAAGCACATGCCATTTCCCCTCAGTGTTCTTTGAAACACATATTTTACCTTAGTAGTTTCTAAGGCTTCACTACCTGCTCCCCAATCCCTGTGGTCCCAAGAGCCCATCCTGCTCCCCCATCCCCATATCTAACTGACTGATCATCATTTCTGTAAAAGAATCTGCCAAACAAAAGTATTTGCTCAGAGATTGTGTGGGGAAGGGGTGGGGCAAGGCAGGGTGAAGCAGGATTTAAGAAGACCTTCAAGTTAGAATGTGAGTATGACTCAAATCTTGTGGACAAACAAGGTTTGTTTACTATTAGTCAACAATGAATGAACAAGGAGGAAAAAAACCTGACAGTAAAATGTTGTGGGAGACCCTAGAGGACATCCTCCTCACCCCTACTCTGTTTCCGGCTGCTGCCAGCAACCGCTGGGCTCCCAGACATTCCAGATGGGCAGTCAGCAGGAGGAAGTGTTCATCGTGGAGCAGACGGTACACTCGGAGGAGGGTGTCCCCATGTCCTGCCAGTACTACCTGTTTCGCGATGGGTGAGCCACTGTGAGAACAAGGGTGGTGGGGAGCATGGAGCTGAGTTCTCAGTGATGGGGTTGGGAATGGCACAAGGGGAACACCACCTGTATCTGAGGCCACCACCAGGAAGAGGAATCATTGAGATCTGAGCATCTCTTGCTGGATCGACACCCTTTGCCCTTTCTCTTCTATTTGCACGTTCTCTTAATCCTCACCGTGTTCCCCATCCTTCCTCACCAAAGAACCCTGAATGGCTGAGAAGCAACAGCCAACCTCCGTGGGCTCTAAAGCATCACTAAAGCGGCTCTCACCGGGGCTGGGTTTAACCTTTTGCAACACCAAGTTGTGAGAGACTTTACACTGGATCGGGTCAGTGTGGGGAGAATCATCTGTAGCACACAGCCCGGCTGTCAACAAAGGACAATAGCACCACATAATAATAATACCAGCTTTGTATTATTATATACCATGGAGTCACAGCCAACTCATAGCTGACCCTCCAGAGGGTTTCCTGAAGCTGTAAATCACACAGGAGAACACTGCCCCTAGTTCTTCCTCAGGGAAGCTGGTGGGTTCGAACTGTATGCCTTCAGGTTGGCAGTGCAGCCCCTTACCACTAAACAAACAGGACTCCCTTTTAAAAAAAAAATCTAAATGGAGGAGAATTTGTTTCCTAACCTTCCAAAAGAGGTACGGAACCTAGAGAAATATCATCAGAATGCTAGTTGTTTGTAAAATTTTTATAGTTACTATATTGTCTCAATTTTTAATTTCCCATAGTAAGAGGCTCCTGGTTTGTTTGCTGGGGGTTTTTGTTTCTCCCTCCTTAGAGGCTGCACATTGAAAGGCCTCAGTCCAAACACATCTCTGTTAGTGATTCAGGAGCCCAATTCTTGTCAGCCCTGTGTATTATCAGGGATACAGACAAGAACAAGACCCAGGCACCGTAAGAGGAGCGAGGGAGGCAGGGCAGGTCCCTGAAGGGTGGTGGGTAGGTCTGAGAAGGTTCCCCTTCCCACGCCTTCTTCCATGTCACACTCCAGGCACCTGGCTAAGAGAGTCCAGGTGGGGTCCCCAGGGTACTGCATCATCACCAAGATGCCCATCCTGAGGGAGGAGGGTGAGTGAAGGGCGGCTGCTGGAGAGGGAGGGGAGGTGGAGGGACACCTGGGTGCAGAGGCCTGCAGAAGAGCAGGCCTATGGGTGGGCTCTAGTCTGAGATCAGATGCCCTCCAGGCCCCACCTCGAGGCAATTAGGGAGAATTTTTCCAGGACTGCCTTTCAGCAACCCTTCCCAGATGGTCAGTCCCCGGCTTTTACCTGAGCCTGTTGTCTGAGGGATCCTAGGAAGTTCTTGGAATCCTTGGGTGCTGGGAAGAGCCCAGGCTAATGGGTAGAAAGTCCTGGCAATCTACTGATTTAAAGTGCCAGCCATGGAAAACCCTAGGGAGCAGTTGTACTCTGACACACGTGAGCAGCCATGCGTGTTTAGGAAAGTTCCAAGGTGGGGTTAAGCCAGATTTCGTCCCTCCCCAATCCAGATGAGCCGGAGCCGCCTCCTGTGTTTGAGAAGAAGCCCTTGGCGTGGGAGGAGGACATGGAGCTCTACTCGAGGTTCTTGGAACGAAAGGTGAGGGGGAGGCGCTCCGGCCATGCAGCTGTCCCCATTTCTGTCTCCTGTCTGCGTAATTTTACGCACCGACGCCCCTCTCTGCCCGGCTTCCCTGCGCGCCCCTCCTAGTGGCTGCGAAGGGCCAAGGGGCGCTGGTGTCCGGGGCGCAGGAGGAGGGCGGGCGCGGGCACGCTCTGGTTCAGGAGCCCCGTCCCCGCCAGGAGGAGCTCCGACTCAGCCACTCCAGCTACTTGCGGCACCACCCCGATGCCCAAGCGCTCATCTCGGACTTCATGCTCTTCCTGCTGCTGCGCCAGCCTGCAGACGTGGTCACCTTCGCGGCCGAGTACTTTGGGTCCTTCTCGGTGCACTACCAGGAGAGCCCGTCGCTGCGCTCCTCCGACTGGTCCAGCCCTTTCCGCCCGCTGCCCTGGAAGCAGCCCCTCGGGAGGAAAGCGTCCTTCTGGGAGAAGATGTAGGCGGGTCGGAGAGCGCGTCCAGCCAGACCCGCGGGCCGGAACCACGCTGGACGCTGGGAGAGAGGGCGCGCTTCCCAGGCTGCGGGTTGGTGGAAATAAACAGGACCCTCCTCGCGCTGGGCTGTGTGTCCAGAACCTTCTCTGACCTGCTTATTTAGTCAGGCCAAAAACAGGAGCCGCTAAGCACGTTTATGAGATTAATTTCAATCCTTCTAGGAAAGACTATTATCATCATTATCCCCACTTCACAGATAAGAAAATTGAGGTAGAGAACGGCTAAGTAACTCGTAGAGCTAGGTTGTGGAGAATGCCCAGACGCCATTAGTTAAATTGAGAATAGAAAGGTGGTGCCGATTTACATTCAAGCTCAATGGAGATGCCTGAGCATAATCGCCCTCCTCACTCCCCACCCTTAAACGAAAACAACGCACCATAGAGGGACTGGAGATAGGAGCCCCTTTGACCTTGCTTGGCACCTTCTAAGCATCCCCCAATGCCCATGGCCAATCCTCAGGACCCGCCTCCTACCCATTGACACAAATGAGCTCTCAAACTCTGTGTGATCCCCATTACCACTGGCAAAAAGGGGCCCCAGAACTGCACGGTGTGGGGATTTTGTCCCCTTCCTCCTGTCAAGAACCTATAACCAACCATGCGCCATCACCGGGCCTCCTGTTTCCTGCCTGTTCCCAGTTACATCAGAACTCTTGGAAGATTCCTGTTCTCTTCCCATTACCAAGATAAACCATATGCTGGGTTATGAAACAAAAATTATTAAAGAATTATGCCCTCTGATTACAATGAAATGAAATTAGAAATCAGTAACAAATAACTCTAGGGAAGTCAAAATAAGTGGGGAAAATGAAACAACACTCCTAAATAATATAGAAAACAAATTAGAAAATTTTTCATTGACATAAAACTAAAGATACAATACTCCAAAACATATGGAATGCAGCTAAAGCAGTTGATTGTTGTTATGTGCGGTCAAGTCACCTGCAACTCACAGTGACCCTACCATACAACAGCTCTGAGCTCTGCTCTGTCCTCAGCCAATTTCATTGTCTCTCACACACCTACTCCTTTGATCCCAGTCACTGAATCGATCATCTCATCCAGGATCTTCCTCTCTTGCACTGTCCCTCCAACCTCCCAAGCATGATGTCCCACTCCAAGGACTAGTCCTTCCTGGCAACATGCCCAAAGTATGTCAGTACAGAGAAATTAATGGCTGTGTATTTAAAACACAGAATGATCTCAATAATCTAGATTTTCATCTTAAAATACTAGAAAAAGTAAATTAAATGAAGCAAGCACACAAAACATGGTGAAAATATATTAGAGTAGAAATTAATGAAAACAATAAAAAACTGGTTTTTTAAAAAAAGATCCAAAAAATGGAAAAATGTTTACCTAGACTGGCAAGAGAGAGAAAACTCACATGACTAGAGTCAGGAATGAAAGAAGGGATGTCACTACTGACCTTACAGAAACAGAAGATGGTAAAGGAATGCTATGCACATTTGTGTGCAAATAAGTTAGACCATTGGCAAATTCCTAGAAAAACACAAACTGAAGGAATTATATGAATGGAGCTATAACAAGGAGACTAAGTTAGTAGTAGTTAAATATTAATAGCTTACAAAATAAAGACTACACTGCAGAACATGGATGAATCTAGAGAAAATCAGACTGAAGGCAATTAAGTTCGTTATAAGTATTGTATAATAAGTTAGTTATAAATATAATATTTGTCCACTCATACACAAAAATTAAAGAAAGGTTTGCATGCAGAAAACAATCATTCTTGGCTCATTGGATAGAAAAAGAGGGAGAGGGAAGTAAAAATTAGTACATAGAGATTAAACACATATGGTTAACAGAAAGACAGTATTGAATAAGGAAGTGATCAACACAATATCACTAAAGAAAGAAAAGACACTGAGAGGTGCCCAAAAAGTCCAGGCAGCAGCAGACACATAGGCAGGCGGGCAGAGAGGCAGTTATTAGTGGAAACAAGAATTACAGAGAGGAAGTAGGAAAGTGTGATTTCATTGTGGGTATTGTAATTAATGTTATGAAACAAAAAATATATATGAAAAACTAATTTGCCTTGTAAATTTTCATTCAAATCATGATTTTATAAAAAGAAAGCCTTCCCCTAAATCACTTACTTATTAAATATTACCAAACATTTAAAAAGGCATTAATAGCCATTCCTTTTTTTAATAACAATAACAATTCTTTTTTTTAAAATTTTATTATCTTTTGTGTGTGTACCGTCAAATCAGATCTGACTGGTACAGGAGACTGTTCCTCCTTCTCCAGCAGAGAATCTGGTGGATTTGAACCACGCATCTCTGGGGTTGCACTGCAGCTTCTTGCCACTAGGCCACCAAAGCTCTTAATTGCAATTCCTTTTTTTTTTAAGTATTTTTTTAAATTTTATTATTTTGTGTGCGTGTACCGTCAAATCAGATCTGACTGGTACAGGAGGATATTGTGCCTCCTTCTCCGGCAGAGCATCTGGTGGATTTGAACCGTGTTCCTCTGGGATTGCAGTGCAGCTTCTTGCCACTAGGCCACCAGAGCTCCCCTTAATTGCAATTCTTAACAAAGTTTTTTTTTAATCACTAAATCAAAGCCAAGTATATTGTAGGCATTCAGTAAAGGCTTGCAATTGTTTTTCCAAGTACATAAAGACAAAATATATTTGAGTGGAAATGGAGGGTTAGAAGACAATGACAGTAATAAAAGTTGTTTCTATTTAAAAATATTTTTAAAGTGTTCTTCCCTTCATACTGGTATGTTTAACATTTTTTAATGAATATGTATTATTTTACTGACTATGCGAAAGTAGTTGTCTGTGTGGATCATAAGAAATTATGGATAATGTTGCGAGAAAAATGGGAATCCTAGAACATTTAATTACGCTCATGAGAAACCTAGACCAAGAAAAGACTGATGCTGTTAATGATTTCATTTTACTTGGACCCGCAGTCAACACCCATGGTAGCAGCAATCAACAAATCAAAAGACAAGTTGCGTTGGGGAAATTTGTCAAGGACCTCTTCAAAGTGCTAAGGTGCAAGGGTGTTAGCTTAAAGACTAAGGTGCGCCTGATCCAAGCCATGGCATTTTCAATTGCTTCCTATGCACCTGAAAGTTGTACAGTAATAAGGATAAATGAAGAAGAATCCATGCCTTTGAATTGTTGGTGGAGAGACCTGACTATCCCATGGACTGCTAAAAGCACAAATAAGTTGGTCTTGGAGCTTGGAGGAAGTGAAAGCAGGGTGCTCCCCAGAGGCAAAAATGGTGAAACTTCACATACTTTGAGGATGTTGTCAGAAGGGCCCAGGCTTTGGGAAAAGGTGAAGGGTGAGAGATAGATACAGAGAGCCTCAAGAAGATAGATTGATTCAGTGACTGTAACCATGGGCTTGAGCATTTCAGAGATCATGAAGATGGCGCAGGATAGCACAGGGTTCCAGTCTGCGGTTCAGAGGGTTGCTATGTGTCACAGTCAGCAGAGAACACTGACGACACATTGATTTTTTAAATGGAAGGGAGGAAATAAATGAGTGAATGAGTGTGTGTGTGTGTGTGTGTGTTTTAAACTATGACCTTTTCCCATTTTATACGTTTCATAAAATATATTTTTGGCCATTTTGTAAATTACACTATCTAAATAATGCCCCAGTACCTTCTTCTTATGATGA